TGGTGTACTCACATCTTTTGTTTTCCCATTTATGCCAAATCTGTCTAACACCTTTTTCAAGTATTGAGTTTGTGTCAGATGAACCGTGCCCTTCTTCCTGTCTCTCTTGATCTCCATGCCAAGAATTTTCTTTGCTTCTCCTAAATTCTTCATTTCAAACTCTCTTGCTAACTGTGCCTTGAGTTTATCAATCTCCACATTGCTCTTTGATGCAATTAACATATCATCTACATATAAGAGCAAATAGATGAAGGACCCATCTGGAAGCTTACGGAAATATACACAATGATCAAATTGACGTCTTGTGTATTCTTTCTCTATCATGAGCCGATCAAATCTCTTGCACCACTGTCTCGGGGATTGCTCCAATCCGTACAACGATTTGTTCAGCTTACAGGCCCAATTCTCTTTTCTAGCAACTTTGAAACCATCTGGTTGGGACATGTATATCTCCTCTTCAAGATCTCCATGTAAAAAGGCAGTTTTGACATCGAATTGGGCGAGCTCAAGATCAAACTGTGCAACCAAAGCTAACAAGATACGAATAGACATGTGCTTCATAACAGGTGAGAATACCTCATTGTAGTCTATTTCTTCCTTCTGAGCATAGCCTTTAGCTACAACTCTAGCTTTGAATCTGATGTTGTCTCTGCCTAGGATGCCATCTTTCTTAGTGTAAATCCACTTACACCCAATTGCTTTCTTGCTTTTTGGAAGTTGCACCAACTCCCAAGTCTGGTTCTTGTAAAGTGACCCGATCTTTTCATCCATAGCCTCCTTCCATTTGACACTTTCTGGATTCTGCATAGCTTCTTTGAAAGTGCAAGGATTGTTATCTTCAATGATTGGAAGTGCATAGGTATCTATATCAGTCATCCAACCGGGTTGCTTAGTAACTCTTTTTCTTTTCCTGATTGCAATGGGTTCTGATTGTTGTGGGGCCTCTGGATCTTCATTTTCATCTGAACTCTTTTCAGAGCTATCCACTGAGACTTTTTCAAGATGGTTGATTGGCTGACTAGTCTTTGCTGGAGTCTCAAACTCCACCTGCACTGACTTCTTCAATGCTTCATCATTTTCTTGAGGATTTGGTTGCTTCAGCATTATAGACTCATCAAAGGTAACGTCCCTTCTAGTGACAACTTTCTTTGATTCAAGGCACCAGAGTCTGTATCCCTTGACACCGTCACTAAAGCCTAAGAAAACAGCTTTCTTGGCTCTAGGATCCAACTTAGATTCTGTAACATGAAAATAGGCTGGACATCCGAAGATACGTAGCTGATCATAATCAGTAACTGGCACTCCTAACCATACCTTCGTGGGAGTCTTGCCATCTAGTGTTGCAGTAGGTAGTCGGTTAACAAGATGACGAGCATAGTTCAATGCCTCGCCCCAAATGCCTTGCTCAATCCAGAATGTGACATCATACACTGGACTTTCTCCACCAAAGTGCGATTCATGCGTTCTGCAACTCCATTTTGCTGCGGTGTTCCAGGAACTGTGAAATGTCTCACCATTCCTTCATTCTGGCAAACCTCAAAGAAGGGATCTAATGTGTATTCCCCGCCATTGTCAGATTTGAGCTTTTTGATCTTTCTGCCTGTCTGGGTCTCAATCATTTTCTTCCACATAAGAAAGATTTCTAATACTTCATCTTTATGCTTCATTGTGTATACCCAAACTCTTCTTGAGAAATCATCAATGAACGACACAAAGTAGTGTTTACCTCCCAGTGAAGCATTCTTGGAAGGACCCCATACATCGGTGTGAATGTAGTCTAGAATCCCTTTGGTACGATGAATCGCAGTACCAAACTTGATTCTTGTTTGCTTGCGCAGTACACAATGCTCGTAGAACTCAAGCTTCCCTGTTTTGGCGCCTTTCAACAGGCTTTGCTTTACCAACCCTTGTAAAGCATTTCCACCGACATGCCCTAGGCGCATGTGCCAAAGTTTGGAAGTGTCTGACACATCATTTTCTGAGCTGGTGGAGACAGCCACTCTCCCTGTGACTGTAGAGCCGTCTAGGAAATATAAATTTCCTTTTCGAGTACCCTTCATTGCAACAAATGCTCCTCGAACAACTTTGAGGACTCCACCTTCCATAGTTACTCTGTAACCTTTGGAGTCTAAAACTCCCACTGAGATGAGATTCTTTGTCAAATCTGGTACATACCGAACATCTTCAAGACTTTTGATTGTTCCACCATGTATCTTCAGTTGAATTGTTCCAATCCCCTTTGTCTAGCAAGCTTGGTCGTTGTCTATCAGCACAACTCCTCCATCGAACTCTCGTAAGCTCGAGAACCACTGCTTGTTAGGACACATGTAGTAGGAACATCCGAAATCTAGAATCCATTCATCAAACTGGCCATATGATGAAACTGTGAAGGCTGATCCTTCACCATTATCTCCATCTCGTGCAACGTTCACCTTTTCCTCTTTTTGGTCTTTATTAGGGCAATCTTTTGCCCAATGCCCCTTCTGGCGATAAGCAGCACACTCGTCTTTTGCAAGACGTCTTCTATCTGATGATTTCCCTCTGGATTTTGAGCGAGACTTTCCTCACCCTGTATATCTTCTGTTATTTGTCCTGCCTCTGACTGTCAATGCCTCAAATGTTGAGTCCCTGTTTGCAGATTTATCTTTCCTTCTGAACACATTATTTACCAAGGCGTTTGCAACAATACATACATAATACATCCTTTTCTACCACGACAGATAAAGTGGTAGGTTAGCAAACGATCATATGAGTCAAGCGAGAGAGAGATTCAACAGTAAACAGTGCTTTAATCTTCATCCACCATGTGATTTCCAAGTTTTTCAATGTCGGTAAAGAATTTTGTTGAAATTGTTTAGGTATTCGTTTATCGAAATACCTTTCTTATAGTCGAAACAAACAACCTCTTCTTCAAAGTAGAGTCAGGGTCTCAAATGCTTCTTGTCATGAACTTGTTCTTCCAACGCCTTCCAAAGTCCTTCGCAATATCATATTCTGTGAAGGCGTACTTCTTCCTCTTTTGCAAGGCAAAGTCGGATGGAACTGCAGGCCAGGAGATTCACTTTCTCATTCTATCCGTGCGACTCTCATCTGGTTGTTCTCCTGCTGAGTAAAAGTTGAGCGTTCATCTGGACAAGCATATTCAACTCGCATCTCCACATGCGAAGTTGCTGCTTCCAACTCAAACTTTTCTACCTCGAACTTACATGGGACACCGGGTCCAATGAGAGTTGCTTGTAGTCGCTGCGATTACTTATGGACTCGATTGACTCTCGTTTGTAGGATTCTGCCATATAGACGTCATTTTTTTTTTAGAAACTCTGATCTCAAAAATCTGACCGTACGGATGTGTCCACAATACTCCAAGTAGTTAGAAAGTACTTTGGATTTGCAGAGAACAGACTCTGAATAACTCAGATCAGAGCCAAAACAGGAGTGTGGACGGTTCAGATTGCCGAGTCTGCGAATACTGTGCGTCTAAGATGCACTGGATAACTACTCTGCCATGGCTGGTAAATTGGCGTGGTCAACGGCGCGGCGCGGCTTGACTCGCTGGTCAACGGTTGCGTCAACGCTCGGCTTCTGGTGCGGCTCTGTTAGTGGCGTGGCTTGACGGCTTGACTCACGCGGCTGGTCAGCGGCGTCAACAGCTCCTTCGGCTCGGCTCAGAATGACGTTCAGCCTGACGGGCAACCTGGCTGACCGTAGCGGCTGACTTGTGGCCTAACCGGATGGCGTGGTGCTAACCTGGCAGCCACGTATGCACTGAGTCTGGCGCGTTAGGCGTAGAGATGACGTCACTCCACGCGCGCGCACTTCACCTTCTTTCTCGGCCGCGCGTAGGGACGTAGGTCTGCGCGTTGATTGACTCACCAGTTGCTGTAACGGCGCGTGAAGCGCATGGTGAGAGTGGGCTCACTCTCCTGCTTTAAGAGGTGCGTAAGAGTCGTGCCTACTCGTCTGGGGCAGCTGGACTTTGCTGTTCTGGATCCTCTTCTTCAAGAGGCTTCCCGCTGGTATGCTCAAAAGTGGATTTCAGTCACTTTGAAATCTGGGCACTTTCGAAAAAAATTTAATTTTTCACCACCCGGGCTCTGATACCAATTCTTGGGAATCGGGGGCACACTAGGAAACACAAACAAGCAATAACACAAGAGTTTTAACGTGGTTCGACAAGTCGCCTACGTCCACGGGCAGCGGATTTCACTATATGGAGAGAAATAGAAGAATTACAAATGAACACACACTCTAATAGTTCTCTCTCTCTCTGTATTTTCTCTTTAACTCACCACACAGAAGTCCTCCAATTCACTATCTATTCACACACTGAGAATGGTAGAGAGCTGGCTGGCCTTGCACATGGCCAGCTGTTCCTTCACTTTCGGTGGCCGTCCACCTTTGCAGCTTGTCTTTACGGCTTGTCGGTTGGCAACCTTCATTCTTGACTTGGCCGTCCACCTTTGAAAATCTGAGCCAATCTTCAGCATCAATGATTATGGCTGCTGCATAAAACAAACCCACCGAATCGATTTTCCACTGTTGTAACATCTACGCCTCTTGGGAAGAACGAAAACAACATCAAATATATTGTAGATTCTTGAACTTTTTATCAAATCCTAACTACTATCAAACTGATTATAAATTATCCATTGGCTCCAAAAATTAGATATAATATATTATAACCAACGCTAAACCAAATTAAATTCTTTTAATAAACTAATTGGGTCCTATACTCCAATAAGGAAATATATCCAACACATCTAACAGTTGCCATAAAGATTAGAAAATAAAATTTCTAAACCAATATATGTTTTCCACTAGACACGATTCTCTCGCTCTCTGCTCTCACCTATAATTTTGTACCCACAATTTCCTGCACACGCTTGGTATACGTACACTTCTAGTTACTATTAATTTGAGCAACAACCATAATAAAGGAAAGTTGCATTAGTTAATTATAAGATTTTAAGGAACAAAGCCTTGGATTGTACTATCTATGATCAATAAGTTCCCACAAGAAATGACAAATTGCTTGGCTCCTCCCTAGATATTGTATTTGCAACTAATTAATGCTCTCATGGTACAAACTAAAGACACAGTGTTACTAAGCCACAATTAAAAGTTCTGATATTAGAATGCAGAACAAGAACCATAAGCCGTTCAGTTTACACAAGTCAAGTTTAGCACCCCACAAAAAAAAAAAAAAACCAAAAATCATTCAAACCACTGACTTTGCAATTCAGTCCGTGCCTCGTTGTCCCATGAAAGTTTTATAGTTCTTGCTTAGTCTTCCTTGAAAAAGGGAGGTAGAGGGCATTTGTTAAAGCTGATGTAGTGATCAGAGCTGCCTTCAACAAGTTCAACCCCTACATCAAGAAAATTAAGAGACACTCATTAAAACCAACTCTTTTCATATTTCTCAGCAAGAATAAGAAAGGTAAGAAGGTCCATGTCCGTTTCCACCCGTATATGAAAATTGATGTGTTGCCGTGTCTATATCATGTCATTTGTTCATGTCCATACTTCTTAGACAGTCATCATACATAACTGCCATATGTAGGGAGAGTCGGAGATAAAGGATATGGGTTTGTTGTTGTGCCTTATGCACTGCAGTGAGGTCCATTAGGAGTTTTTCCTAAACTTATTTTGATAATTCGAAACTGTTCATTTTGCAAGGTTCGTTAAATATATCATCAATGAAAAAAAGCAAGTTAATTGCACATCTGTAGTCCCATGATCAGGTCCTCATTTTTTTTAAAAAAAATTATCAAAATCATGTTAATTGTTTACTTAAAAAAAAAGAAAAAAAAGTGTGTTCTTGTTACGAGGTTGCATATGTCAATTAACCTGATTTCTTGCGTGGATGATCTACTCGATAAATCTTACAATATGTATGGTTCGGATCATTGAAATTGGCTTGGGAGAAGCCTCCATAGACCCTCACAACTACAACCCCAATAGAAAACTAGTCAAATAGTGTGAAATTTAACAATTTCCCATATCAAATCCAACTAGCTGAATTTAAGGAAGATTTTATGGCACATGTTTCCGAAACCAAATTTTTTTAATAGATTAATTTCAACCAAAAAAAAGAGACAAACCCTTAAAAAATATTTAAAAAGAAAAAATTGTACATGTCATATACACTTCAATATTTATTTAAAGTCATATTCAGAAAATCCAGAAAATAATTCCAAAACATTATCCAGAATTGAACATGTGTATGCAGACTAGATTTGTTAGAGGTGGAACTCACAATACATCAAGTTTGCATCTACACTATCCATACACTTTCTGGCCAACTTTCATGGTAAAAATTCTAAGTTAATACAGTTTCCCTTTTATTATTATTATGCAGGAGTCGTGCCAAATGATAGCAAACTTTGAGGTTTTAGTTAGTTTAAGAACAAGAAACTTACCTCTTGTTTGTTGATTTTTATGTCATGCTCCTCAATATCCTCAATAGGAACATCTAACCCCTTCAGATAAGAGATGCTTGAAGTGGTATTGGCTGATGGTAGCACTACCAAACCATCAGATACTAGGAATGCTCCTGGTCTCTTCACAAAATTTCCAGAATTAGTTTCCCAACAAGAGGAGGACCTCGGGTCAATTAAGGTTAAACGTGTTACTGCCTCCCCAGAAATGGTATTAGGCCATTCGAAGGTCAGAGAACAAACACCGCCGAGCAATTTACTGTGACAATAATAATTTCCATATCTTTCCTCGAGTTGGAATGGCTGACTGGAGCACCTGAATTTCGGAGCAAGCCCTGGATTGAGTAGTAGCTGATGCCAGCTATAGTAGCTACTCACTGGCGCATTGTGTGCTACAAACCACTTGTTGTTCAAAACTTGTACGCTTTTGTACAAGTTATCTACACATCCCAAAGAAGATTTTCCATCCAAACATTTAAGTACATTTGCTAGGGGAATTGTGAGGAAGCTGAAGAGAAGGTCAACCAAATCTTCCATGGCCTCGGCACACAATGCCTTCCCTTCAGACTTTCTTACCATAATCTTCACTGCCATACTTCCATTGGTGTCTGCTCCTGGTATGTTTTGCGATATGAATTGATGATCTCTTTGCTCGAGCAATTTGCGCCTTTTGGAGTTGAATCTTTCGTTTGGCAAAAATACATCCGTCAAAGGGGACTCGGAAAGCAGAGACTGCTTGAGCAGATTCAAAATCTAAAGACAATATATGTACGTAATAATTAGGACCATAGTATGGTCACTATGGTAGATCTCAAAACCGAAACACTATAATTTGTTTTGGTATTGTTCTTAGGGATAGGATACACAATCCAACACTTGGACTGATAGTTGGATTGAGTATCCTATCCCACCCACCCTCACCTTTACTATTAATTCAGATTTCAATTTTCTTAGACAAACATTGAATGTTGCATTTTCGTTGGATTATTAATCCAATCTTGGAGCAACGGCCTAAGTTCATTATCTCTCTATCTTTATGGAAAACAAAATTTGAATGTAACTTTATGACCTTCCATCATAAACTCATGGTTATAGATATGAATGCACTTACCTGCTCTGAGCCAACCTTCACAACCTTTTCCTTAAGACTATTTACATCTTTGATGCCAACATTGCCAAGGAATTCGACTAGAGCTACTGGTGTGCTCACCATTACTTGGAGATTGTCACTAACAACATAAGCCGCTGATTGCTTGACAAAAACCTCATCTGTAGCATCGGCATTAGATCCAGAACCCGATACATATATCTCTCTGTTCATCAACTTCCCACATTTGCATTTTGTGTTTACATAGTTACTTAACAATCCACCATCTTTTTTATTACATGCCGAATCAGAACATATGAAATACTTGGTGGGCGTTGTATCATCTATATTCCCTTTCAAGCCGCTGCAAATGGTTTCGAATGGAGTTCTCGGATGAAGCAGCATATCCTTGCATGCATCAGTCTGCAAAGAGGATGTGCTGAGATTTTCAACACTTTGGTACAAGCTGTTCATGCAGCCAATTTGTGCTTCTTGTGATGATTCCTGATTGCGGATGAGTCGGACAATAGTGCCCATTGGTAAGGTCAAGAAACTGAAGAGTATGTCGACGAAATCATTACCAACTTCAGCACAAACTACTCTGTTCGTCGCTTCATCTATCAGAATACTCACAGAAACTTCAGCAGTTTGGTTGGAAGCCATGGCCGCCTTCGCAACAAAGCACAGAGGGTTTTGTCCTGCAAGGACCAATGCAGCCGAAGCTGTTTAGGAGGTGTTTGGCATGGATTTGATCCTCTCCATTACAAAATTGCATATTTATAATAATTATGAAATAAGAATGTAGATTTATAATTATTTTAAATTTTTTAAAAAAATCATTACATTTACTATCAGATGATAGAGAGAATGACAATCGTTGGTCCATTATAATTTAAAAAAATAGGTATATTTGAAAATTGCTAAAAAAAATTTAAAATTTTATTAGTGGGAAAAAGTTGTTTTTTTTAAATTTTATTTTAGTTAAACGGGTTTCTACCATATTTAAAAATAAAAAAAAATAAAAAATAAAAAAAAACTCAGTTTCCCATTCATGGACATCACGGATATCGTTTTGATAATTCGAACAGTTTATTTTGTCGGCTTTTCAAATATATCATTCAAAATAAATAAATAAATAAATAGATGGATTTGATAATTGTTATTTATTTAATTTATTGCATTTATATCTAAAAAAAAGATCATCAATTTTTCTGGTAACAAACGTGATAAATTGAATAAGTTACAAATATTGAATCAACCTAATCTTTGTGTGTAGATGATATATGCCCAACAAAATAATAGTTCAGATTATCAAAAAGAGACCCGTAGTAGAAGCTCAACGGCCCCCAAACAATGTCCTCCAGCCTAGATCATGGACCGGAAGCAATCCAGGCCCAAAAAGAAATTAGTTGATCGGAGCCAGAATCTTAGGAAGTGTTTGGTTCGTTAAAATGAATCGGAATGAAATGAACATTCTATCAAAATATTTATTTCTATGTTTGATTAGACTAAAAATATAATGATAAATGCATGGTAACGTTAAGGAATGATCATTTCATAAAAAAAGTTTAATGAATTATTATTTCATTTCATTTACATCTCATTCTAATGAACCAACTAGAGCATTAGAGTTGAATCAAAGCATTCAACCCAAAAAAGGGAAAAAAAAAAAAAAAAAATTGATATGGAAGCCTACTCTTTAAACCAATGTGGCCGAATTAAAAATTAAAAATGACAAATTATATCGGCAGTTTTTACATTTATTTTGTTATTTGTATCATTTTAGTCTCTATAGTTTTAATTGGTTTAATTTTTACCTTTAATTGATAATGTTAGTAGAGTTTTTGACAAAAAAAATTCATCAAATTAGTTGAGGTTAAGTAGTTAAATTGATCGAGTTAACAATTTTACTCATTTACTATAAAATTTTACTCATTAACAATTTTACTCATTTACATACAGCTTATATGCACATTTACTATAAAAAAAATACTAACAAATAGGAGTAATTGGACTAATTTGAGACAAAAAATTTAGGGTCAAAATTGATTTAATTGAAATTATAAGAACCAAAATACTCATTTAATAACACAAGGACCCAATTAAAAATTAACAAAGATCCAAAAAAATAACACAAGACGAAAATAACACAAGACCGAAATACTGATTTAATAACACAAGGACCAATTTAAAAAAATTAACAGACTAAAAAAAATAAGAAAATAAATAAAAGAACATTTATTCACAAATAAATAAATAAAAAAGTAGTCACCTTCGTGGCCAATAGAACCGAAATTGCAGAACCTACTCTTCTACTGATGAATTCGCACTAAACTAAACAGTTTTCTGTAATCGCAGATCTTCAGCTTTGTTTCGTTAAGACTGGGGAAACAGAGTTCGACAGAGAGTGCAAAGTAGCAGAAAGTACTAGGAAACACAAACAAAAATCCATTAAAATAATTTCTACAAATGTAAACCAAACAAAGCCTAAATCTTTTTTTAAAAAATCCTCTAAAATAAAATAAGCTAAATTTAGGTAAAAGATTGACCTTTTTTTAATTTTGGAATTTTTTAAAAAGGTCTAATTTAAATAAATTTTAAAAAGAAATAGATTCAAAATTTAAAAAAAAAAATTCTAAAAACAAAAAATAAATTAGCTTATAAGTCCGTTTGAGAAGTAGCTTTTTAAGTGATTTTTTTATTAAAATATGTGGTGAAAAAAATTAAAAGGTTTGTTAATAACTTTTTGATTTTTTTACAAAAAATAAAGAGAATGGAAAAGAATTTTTAAATTTTTTGTATGATTTTATGTCATTTTAGTAAAATTTTGGCCATTTTAACTTATTGCCAAACGGTAATGAATTACACCATACTTAAATTCAAAATAATTTGGCTAAAGTTATTGTTTTGCTTCTTACAACGCAAAAGTTATTTTTTTTATTATAATATTTCTATGATTCACATGTTATTTAACACAATTAATTTTTACATTAATTTTTGGTTGTTGGATATTCTTCTCAGAAAGTATCTTATGATCATGATTTAATTTTGTTAATGTAAAAAATTTTATGTTAAATTTGACTTAAGATTTCACTATGTAAAGAAATTTTGTAATGTCGTGTAAAAAAATGACTTTTCAAGGCCTTACAACTCTACCATTAGAATTGTTGTTAACAAATTTTTCTCTCAAACTTATTCGCAAAGATTGACCACTCAAGTAATAAGACAACTTATGATTTTTAGATAAGGTTAATTAATTAAATAATATTATTCTTGATAAATGTTACTAAACTAATTAAATAATATTATTTTTGATAAATGTTACTAAACTAATATATATATATATATATATTTTTTTTTTTCTTACTAACGGTTTTGTCTTGTAATAACAAAAATTTGAAAACTAAAATTAAACTCGCTTCAATAATATATTTTGTTCCATTAATAAGTGCAAAATATATATAATTTTTTTAAATTGTCCATAGCATTACTCATATTGTTTATGTTAAGAAATTTTATTAACTTTACAAGTAACCAATTTGCTGGGTGATGCATTAACTTTTTTTTTTTTTTAAAAAAAACTATCAAGGGTTAATTATATCAAGACCTCTCAACTATTGACAAATGTTATTTTAACTTCTTCATTTATGAATTCATATATTTTGACTCCTTCAACTATAAAAATATATCACTTTCACTCTTTTAGATCTCCATTAAACCATCTCCAAAAGAGATGTATATTTATAATTTTTATAATTGAAGGGGGTCAACATATATGTGTTCATAAAAAAAATAAAGTGATATTTATTAATAATTATGAAAATGTTACCATAATGAAACTATTAATTTGCACAACAAACAAGCATAAAAACAGCAGATACAAAATAAAGGAAAACTTGTATTAGTTAATAATATGACGTAGGCTTGGAGATTGATTAAAGGAGCAATATAAGTATAATGGGATTGAGAAAAAAAAAATTATAAAAATATGTGGGTATAAAGGATTCTGTGATGGTGCAAGTGAGAAGCAGTGGGGGTGCAAGTGTGATTTGTACCGCTCCATGTTTGTGTGAAAAAAATATGGATAAATTATGCAAATGATCACCGTAACTTACACTATGTGTCAATTTAATCATTGTTGTTTTAATTTGCTTGATTTTTTTCTCTCTATTAAACGTATTACGTCATATTGGTCCAATAAATAATGACCGTCAAGTGTGGTAGACGAAAAGTCATCACGTGTTCAAACAATGTTTTAATTTGGTCTTTGTAATTTATACTGAATTACTTATGAAAAGAGAACTAACTATGTGAATTAAAACCTTAGCACTTGGATTATATAGACTTGACTAACTTTTTGGTTCCTTTTTTAAATTTTTACCCAAATTTATGATTCAAACACTCTAAAATTTTGAAGCTGTGTTTTTTATGAATTTGGACAAGAATTTGAAAACAAAAAGGATAAAAATAAGTAACATATAAATAAAATATATTTGTTAGTATATTATTATACTTTGTATATAATATAGCATTGTTTATAGCATTACTTTAGCATTGTATCCGTTCATTGTTATCATTATGTTTGTTCACTTTCGGCTAAAGGCTAAAGCTTTAGCCTTGCCTTTCGGTGCCTCGCGTCTCGCATGGCATGCCTCGCATCCAATATCAGTCTATAAATAGAGTGCCAAACTCCCTTTGTAATAACACACAACAAATTCAATATACACATTTATTCACTTGCTCTCTCTTTCTATCAATTTATTTTACATGGTATCAGAGCATCACATTTAGACAGATTGTTGCATCTCTCGAACTTCTCTGTCTTCCATATTCAATCACACCAATCTCTTCGTCTCCTCACGACGAATCCATCGCCACCAAATTCATCACCAGAAGACCTACCACGCGCCTCCACGCGCCGCCAGAAGTTAAGGCCACACTCATCCTCGTTCTCCGACGCGCTCTACGCGCCTCTGCACTGTCCCGTGCTACTGTGCGCCGCGGCCTTCTCTGCTATCGTGAGCCGCGTGTTTCTGCGTCAGCCGACGTCAGCCCTACTGCTTTCGTGCGCCGCCTGCTGTCCTTTGCTATTTTGCGCCGCGCACCTCTCTGCTTTCGTGCGCCGCTTGCTGTCTCCTGCTATTGTGCGCCGCGCACTCTCTGCTAACGTGCGCCGACCGAATTTTGACCAGCCACTTTGACCAGCCCATTTAGTGCCTTTCTGGTCCTATTTTTTGGTCCGGTCACTCTTTTCCCATTGATTTCGACCTTCTGAATTCACTGGTATCCTCGGATTTTTCAAATTCTACCTCGAACGTACGCTTTTGCCCTCATGGATCGTCTCGACTCCTCTAACCACCCTATTTCCGTTGTTCTTGACGGGACTAACTATGTCTTATGGGCACAAGCTATGTCTGGGTTTCTCAAAGGAAAGAAACTTTGGCGCATCATCACTGGGGATGTGTGCAAACCCATCCATACAACCACCGAATCCGCTGCCACCACAGACTCCGCTGCCAAATATATCGATCGTCTGGAGGATTGGGATAGTAAAAACTATCAGATCATTACCTGGTTTCGCAATACCTCTATCACATCTATCAGCCTTCAGTTTGGTCGGTTCCAACTTGACTCTGCTTCCTCTCCCGCCAAGGACATCTGGGATTTTTTACAAGAACGCTATCAGACTACTGGCCTTGCTCACCAATATCAGCTTCTGAGTCACCTTCACCGTATGCGCCAAGAACCAACTCAGACCATTAATGACTTCTTGTCCCAAATGTATTATGTTTGGGATCAGCTCGCTCTTTCTGAACCTCCATGGGCTTGTACTAAGGATGCTGCCTTGTTTACCACTTACCGTGACCAACATCGCTTGGTTCAGTTTCTCATGGCTCTTACTTCCCGTTTTGAGCCCGTACGAGCTTCTCTCCTCCATCGCACTCCTTTACCCACTCTTGAGCAAGCAATTTCTGAACTCTTGTCAGAGGAAACTCGGTTTGGTACTCTCCATCCGCACCCTGTGGACTCTGTTCTTGCTACTCCCCAGACTAAGAGTTCTCATTCCCCACCTTCACCACAGAAGTCAACCTTCTGCAACTACTGTCAAAATCGCCGTCTTCCGTCGACTCATCTTCTGGTTAATTGTCCTGTTCGCCGCTGTCGGTTTTGCAACAAGACTGGTCCTGGTCATCTCCAGCAAGATTGCTTCCGCAATCCCGCCCGTGCTTCTCGCAATGGTCCTTCCCCCGGGCATTTTTCTCGCAGCACCTCACATGGTCGGTTCCAACGCACTGCTGCTGCTGCCTCAGAGGATGTACCTTCCCCTGTCCCTATAGATCCTTCCACTCCAGTCTTCTCTCCCACAGATGTCGAAGCCATGTTTCAACATTTTTTGCAAAAATCTGGTACTCCTTCCTCTCCTGCCTTGTCTGTCACTGCAGGTAACACTTCCTGGTACTTTGACTCAGCTTGTTGTAATCACATGACCTTTGGCTCTACTATTTTTACTCCTATCTCTGTTACTCCTCATGTTCCTTCTATCCATATTGCTGATGGGTCTCTTCTGTCTGTGAGTCATGTTGGTTCTGTTTCCACCTCTCACTTATCTTTATCTCATGTCTATCTTATGCCTGCTCTCACTTTAAATCTTATCTCCATTAGTCAATTATGTGAGCATGGTCTAACTGTTACCTTTTCCCATACTGGTTGTTTGGTGCAGGACCCTCGGACCAGGCAAACTCTTGGGATAGGCCGTAAGCAAGGACGTCTCTACGAACTTATCTATCTTCATGTTCCAGATTCCTCTCAAATCACTGCTCCTACCACTACTACCACTGCTCCTACCACTACTACCACTGCTCCTCCTTTATCTCATTTTCAGCTTTGGCACTATCGTTTGGGCCATCTTTCTGTTGGTCGTTTGAAGTCTTTAATTTCTAGTGGTCATTTAGGTACTGTAAGTTCTGATGCTTTCAATTGTGTGTCCTGTCAACTTGCAAAACAACCTGCTTTGTCGTTTAATAAAAGTAATTCTGTTTCTCTTGCGCCCTTTGATCTCATTCATTCTGATATTTGGGGACCCTCTCCCACTCCTACTATGGGAGGCGCACGTTATTTTGTTGTTTTTATAGATGATTTTTCTCGTTTTACATGGTTGTTTCTTATGAAAAATCGCTCTGAACTAAAACAACTTTATTACAATTTTGCTGCAATGGTTAAAACCCAATTTTCTAAAACTATCAAGATTTTTCGCTCCGACAATGCCATGAAATATAAAGATTTTGACTTTCTTTCCTTCCTTAGGAGTCATGGTACTCAACCTCATCGTTCCTGTCCAGGTACGTCTCAACAAAATGGTCGTGCTGAACGAAAACATCGGCATCTACTTGACACTACTCGAGCCCTCCTTCTCTCTTCCTCT